GATTTTATCTACCAAGCACTTTATTTAATATGCCCATTCTATCTTCATTCCCATTACCAATGTCATGGCTGTGCTCATTTCCTAATGAGTAAACAGAGAGCCAGAAAGAAATTAATTTTTCAAGTATAGGTGGCAAGTAAGCACAGGAACATTGGCATTTTCAAAAATAATATTCACTGCATTATCTCAGATAGCATCTCATTTAAAATGAGTATTTCTTTGCACCATATAAATGTTAAAATGATTTATAGTACAAATCATAGTAAGAATATACTCTGACATAATTTGTGTCTGTGTCCTCTCTCTTTCTTCTCTGATACCAATGATCTTCATTTTACCCCACTGGCCAAGACCCAGGCCAATCATGTCCATAAAGGACAAGGCAAATGGTTTCCCAGCATTCATGCCTTGTTGAAATTTGTCCGACTGTTGACCACTTTTAGGGAAGAAGACAAGTGTGTTGGAGGTGACCTTTTTGTTACCCGCTGTGAGATACACTGTTGCTGGATAGTAGTGACTTCCTTTCTTATCTCCTTAGACAGTTAGTAGCTTTGTCTGTTGGTTCAGAGAATTCGAATTTGAGGATGACTTTTTCTGGAGTACTGGGACAGAACACAGGGTCCTGTTCAAGTCAGGCAAGCCCTCGACCATGAGCGATATGCCCAGTCCCAGGATCTATGCCGTACTTATATATGTTCCTCGAGTAAATTCCGAAAACATGTATAATTTTTACCCTAATTCCATCTGTATAAAGTGCAGAATGTAACTGTTAAAATAGCCCAACAATCAGAGCTATCAGTTGATAATCCATAGTTCATGGATAGGTTTCATGGGAATTAATATAAACTTTGTGTAGTCTGACTCTGTTCTAATTATATGCCTGATTTTTAAATTTGAGAGTCATATGAGAATTCAATTATAGCCTTTTTTGCCTTTAATTAACAGAGATCCACTGTCATCTGCAGTCTTATGTTGCTTGTTAATTATTTCCAGTACATTCTAAAGACATTTTCGTGGTGTGTCCCCAGTCAACTGTGGGAAGCACTTACACCTGCTTGTGTCTCTTACTTCCAGGGTGTGCAAGGAGCCCTGAGCCGGTAAGTG